GGAATCTTCTGGTTCCTTGTCATTCTAACAAATTAAATTTATATTACTGGTCAACGTGATGTGATGTCAAACATTTGTTCTGTGAACTTAAACAGGAAGTCATTTTAGTTGCCAATGCCAATCATTTAGAACACTGGCACCAAAAACCCAACAGGTTTTTAAATACCTTTGTATAAATCAAGCAATGGAAACAAATTCTAATTGTATTCAAATTCAAAACTACCTTGTCAATCTCAGAGGAAAATTAAGTGTTGTCGTAGCTCATTATTATTTTTGTTATTGTTGAGGGGGCACAACCAGAAAATTCTTTTAAAAATGTAATAAATTAAAAAAAAAAACATAAAAAATCATTAAACCTCAAAAAGGGCACTTTGGGCACATGGGACAAAAGGGGCAGGGTCTCAAGCACCCTCCTTTAACATCTATGATAGCTTCCAGTCAGGTTTTCGTAAAGCTCATTCTTCTGAAACAGCTCTTCTTAGGGTCTCTAAGACCTTCTGAATCACAGTGGTGCAGGGGACTGTTCTGTTCTGGTCCTGCTGGACCTGACTGCAGCCTTTGACACTGTTGACCATCATCTGCTACTGGAGAGGCTGAGAGACTGGGTAGGCCTATCAGGATCTGCTCTGGAGAACCATGGTTCTCCTCTTATCTTTCTGAGTGTTCCTTTTCTGTGGCCGTCTCCAAGTTTAGGTCCTCCACCACCTCCCTTACCCATGGTGTCCCACAAGGTTCTGTGCTGGGGCCTCTGCTCTTCCTCCTCAATCTGCTTCCTCTTCAGCACATCCTGAGCTCCTTCAAAGGAATCTCCTACCATCTTTATGCAGACGACATCCAACTGTACATCTCCTTTTAACCCCATGAGATGTCTAAGCTGCAGCTGTTACACACCTGCTTAGACTCTATCAAAACCTGGATGGCTGGGAGCTTTCTACAGCTGAATGAAGATAAGACTGAGATCCTCATCTGTGCCCCAGACAAGCTGGTTCCCAAAGTCAGAGACTCTCTTGGTCAGCTTGCTTCCCACACCAAACCATCCGTCAGGAACCTTGGTGTGACCTTTGACCCAGCTCTCACCCTGGATTCTCATGTCAGTTCTCTTGTTCGCTCTTCCTTCTTCCATCTCAGGAACATTGCTAAGCTGAGTCCCATTCTGTCCCGCTCTGAACTTGAGACAGTTATCCACACCTTCATCTCCTCACGCTTAGACTACTGTAACTCTCTTTTCACGTGTCTGAGCAGAACCTCGCTGAACCGTCTACAGGTGGTTCAGAATGCCTGTGCTCGACTTCTGACCAAGTCCTCCAAACACACCCACATCACCCCGCTTCTCTTCCAGTTTCATTGGCTGCCAGTCAACTTCAAGGTTCATTTCAAGATCCTGGATCTGGTCTATAGGGCTTTACATGGACAAGCACCATCTTACATTGGTGATCTTCTTAGTCCCTACACCCCCAGCAGGTCCCTAAGGTCCAGTGATCAAAGCCTACTGGTTGTGCAGCACCAGGATAAAGACCAAAGGTGACAGATCATTTGCTGCTGTGGCCCCCAGACTCTGGAACTCTCTCCCCCTGAGCCTGAGATCAGTGGACTCAGTGGTCTCCTTTAAAAAGCAGCTGAAGACTCACCTGTTCAAGCTGGCTTTTGTATGACCTTCTTCAACACTCTCTCTTTATTCTGCTCTCCCCACCTATTCCACTTTCCTCAGGATCCACTGATTTCCCTCTTTCCTATTCACTCTCTCTCTTTCATAACATTTTTTAATCACAATTGTCAATTTTTGCTCATTTTAAATATATTTTTAACCATTTTCTAAATTATTTTTTATATTTTTACATTTGGTTTTTGTGAAGCGCCTCGTGATTTTTATCTTGAGAGGCACTACAGAAATGATATTTTCTTCTTCTTCTTCTTCTTCTTCTGGCTACTTGGACAAGGGAGATCTCCGTTTGGGTGACTGATTGGCGAGCGCGACTTTCACCTGGGAGTCCGGGAATTGAATCCCAATTGGATCTTTTTTTTTTATATCCGCCACAGATCTCTCAGAAGAATTCACAACATTGACGGCTGCAGCAATGCTGTGCCACTCCATGGATATTCTCTTATTTGTTTTGCAAAAGCACTTCCTTTCATTTCTCCACCTCACCCACAAGCACCTCAACTTCTGCTTGTGAAATAGCGCTTCCTTGATCTGCGGTCGTAATCGAAATGCTGCAACAGCCGGCTTATGTATATGCATGAGGTCCACAAGGCACTTTGCGTTGACTATTTTTGGCAGTAAGTGGGCGTGGTGAGGGCGGGATGTGACTAAAAAGCAGCTGAGAACCTTTCTCCTTAGTCTCTGATTTATGAAGCAGAGATTGCGTGCAGCTGTGCGTACTCCATGTTTGATAGATCACAAACCTACTTGGCGTAAGTAGTTTTTTTTTGTTTGTTTTTTGCTGAGCTTAAGTACGGTTTTAGTAAGCATTCTACGCAATGTTTGATAAATGAGACTCCAGGTAGGTAGGTTTTAACATTGCAAATCTGCAACGCCTGCCTCCAGAGGGTTAAAGCAATAATACAAATAAATATTAATAATAATGATGTGAGTTGATATTCTTCAAAGAATCCTTAAAGATGCTTATAGCTTTGGGCAGGAAGAAAATAATAAAAACAAATCTATTATAAACTGCAGGTAGCATTTTTATTAGGCAAAACAACCAACCAAACAAATAAGGACCAAGCTGTACTTTGAAGAAACACATATTGTTCTTTCAGCTAAAGTCTGCAGGATGCTGGCCCTGGATGACTGGAAGCGATGACCCCTGATCTAGTTCATGAGATATTTTGCTAACAGGCAAAAATATCATCAGTAAGTGGATGGTGACATCAAACAAATAGAAAATGAAAAAAAAAAGCTGTGTGAATAGCCCTGTTATTTGAACTTGCACTAGCACCAGAAAGTTGAATTTCCACCAACAATGTTTCATCGAGATATTAGAAAATATGATATTTTGTTTCAGAATTAAATATCAATGAGTTCCAAGTAGTTTATACAGTCACAACAAGTATAAATTATTTCAAAGAAGGCGGTAGATTTGCTTTAGGATAAGATCAATGTCCAATTTCTAGTTTAAATTATATTTGTACATTTTCTCTTACAACCCGAGAGTGTTACATGTTGTATGTAAGAGTGTGCATTCCAGTTTTAGAGACGGGTTTGCTGTGTTGGATGTAGTGATGGGAATTCCAGCTCTTTTTAGAGAGCCGGCTCTTTTGGCTCAGCTCAACAAAAAGAGCCGGCTCTTTCGGCTCCCAAGTGGCTCCTCAGGTTTTCTGTTGCGTAAAGTATATTTTTTTCACCAAAAGATAAAGGTTATGGCTCCCAATGACGAGCCGGCTCCCGTCGTTCACTTCATAAAGTCGGTCCGTTCGCGACCGACACATCACTAGTTGGATGCTGTGTTTCTCGGACCATATTTCCATTTCAGTGGCATTTTTCTGAACCAAAGCATGGTCCTCTCAGTGCAGCATGTCACCTCTACTAGACATGAGTCCTGAACCACCAGGTTTTCTGTAATCTATGAAATTAGTAATGCTTCTGTTATTTTTTGTCTGGGCGCTCCCCTCCCTCTATGCCGCATGGAGCAGGGTTCAGTTGAAAGGCACTGTTTGTTAAGGCTTTAGCGGTTAGTAAGTGCTTCCTTTGTTTGGCTGGAGCAAGGAGAGGGCGGTTAATATCTCCCAGGGAGCACATTACAAAGAAGGCCTTCAGCTCCCCTGGCTGGAGAGGGGTGGCTGGATGAATGAGGCCAGGCCACAGGGCAAAGGTGCCAGGGAGGCCATGAGAGGGTGGGAAAAGCCAGGGTTACAAGAGGTATGGGTGGTATAAGCTCAGGGTCACTATTAGTGTACAGTTATACAAAAACAACTACTGGAAAAGCAAGAAGTCAGTCAGACACGACGTTAAGATTTTTCTTTCAGTGACGTGGGAATTGGATAAATTTAAGTGTTAATTATATTTGGAATAGCTCCCTTTGGAACCTGTGGTGTTCCTCGGGCTCACTGCCACAGGTACGGCAGGTAAAATGGAAAGCAGGACAACAGCCACACAGCCCAAAACACAGAGGGCATTCATTAACCATAAAACATCTAAATCGGTGTGGAACAGCTGAGAGACAAAGGAAGTAACAGATGAGTCCAATAAGGAAGCAGATGAGAACATTTAGAGACAGGAAGGAACATGCAAAGTCTACATGAGTAACTCTGATGTTATACCAGTAAATGTGTTGAATAATGCAACAGATGTAAATGTCGCCAAGTGAGAAAAGTTTAGATTATGTGTGAAAACACTGACATTTCAAAATCTGTCAGCTGACACCAGCACCCTTTATACAGTGGGACAGTCATAGGACTTTGTTTTAAAAAAAGGCTAAAATTCCCAAAAGATTCTAAAACGCTGTGATGAGTCAGTGAATCAAGCTGAGAACAATAGGGTAGTGACAGTTTTAGCGCCATTGCATGGAAGTTGTCGTAGACAGAAACCATTGGCAGAAGCGGTTCTAAATGTAGGATCAAAAGTTAAACTACAAGCAGAAATGCTAATGTACTGTAAAATAGTAACTAACTGATTAAAATGGTAATTTAAATAAAGCTGTTTCTGGTTAAAACCACTTTAGATGACAAAATAAGTGTGTCAGTTGTGCAAAACCAAATAACCAAACATTTTCATGTATCTGTCACGATCTGCCCCTGCCCTCCTGACTGTCTCTCTCCTGCCCTGATTAGTCCGTATTGTTCTCACCTGTCCCTCGTTTACCTGCCCATGTTTTCCTAATTAGGCTTGTGTATTTATGCCACCTGTTTTGCTTCTGTCCTTAGTCAGATCATTGTATGTGCATGTGTCGTTTTGTCCTGTCGCTCCCGTTGTTATTAAACCCATTTTTACTTTATCTGTGCCTGCTCTTCTGCCTCCTGAACCCCCCACCACACTTGGTCCACCACCTCCACTCCACTCATCATGACAGTATCTATTTATTTATTTAAAGCCAGAGGTCATTATAACAGAAAACTGTGTGGCACGTTTAATCTGCACATTTTCAGTCAGGGATGGACAATTTTTACTCTCAAATCCACGAGACCCCATAAAGGAACTTCTGCTTCAGAGAGCTCAACAGGCTCCAGACTTCTTCAGGACATGAGGATCCCTCTCTCTGACATCAGAACCCACCAAAGAAGACTGCACACTTTCAGCTGGAACCAGGTGTCTGCTGCGTCTTGAATGGAGCTCTCAGATGTGGTGGATGTTCTAGAGAGAGAAGCAAGTCATTTAGAAAGCTGCAGTCTTCATGTCATGATGTAAAATAAAATCAGCAGCAGATTAATCAGGCGGATAATAAGAACTAAAGCTAATTAGATCTTTATGCTGTCTTATGATGGGCATGTTGGAAATAAAATCAGACAACAACAAAGAAAAATAGCATCTAGCGCCACAACAAGCACACCTCCACCAAAGCTCCAGCACCAGCACAGATGAGTAGTGTGTTTGGAAGGTTTCTGGGTCTCTTTCCCTGTAATTTTAATATCAGTGATCCTATAAAAGTTCTTACATTCATACAGAATCTTGACATCTGCAGGAAACTTGATGATCATTTAAACCAACCATAGAAGGAATAGAAAGACAGACATATAAAGCTTTAAAAACAAAGCTACACAAAATTAAATTCAATAAAAATCAACAAAATCGATAACATGCCTGAGTAGAACGATGTGTTCAGCTGCTTTTAAAAGACTCGACAGCAGTTAGAGAGCACAGGATTGGTGGTAAAGTGTTCCACATTGAGGGGGCTACTGCATAAAAGGCCCGATTACCTCTGGTCCTAAACCTAGTTAGGGGCACTACCAGTTGTTACAGTGCTAGCGTTAGCTTTGGTACGTGATAGATACATTCCTGATCACTTTTATATGCATTTTATTTTGATAGTCTCTCCATCACCCCACCAGTCCACTTACCAGCTTTTACTCCATCACTGACCACACCTGCAGCTTCCACCAACCTGGTTGCTGCTCATCACCACTCATGATCAGACCCTCTGGAAACATGAAGATGGACATGAATGCAAAGTACAGGCAGCAGTGTGACCTGTAACTGTTTAGTTACTGATCTACAGCTATTTTTTTTAATTTATGCTGATATTTTATCATTAATAACTCTTAATTTCTTGTTCAGTCTTCAAGTAAAGACTCTAATCCCAGCTGGACCTCAGATGATGAATTACTAATATTAAACAGATGCAAATGAACAGTCTTGCAGTAAATACCAAAGTTGTAAAGGTTCTGTTGTTCAGACGTCCTGACTCAGCTCTGATTATTCTGCAGGACATATCGTGTTACCATGGTGATCCTGAGTCTGTAACATGCTCCAGCAGGTTACTGAAGTCAGAATAATCTGGTTTAACAGAAAAAATAGAAGACATCAATGTACATTACCCACTCTTACCACTGGACTACCAAGTCTGTTACATTACAGCAGTTGCCTAAGCCACATATCCTGTGCTAGCCAGTGGAGACCAGAGACTAGCTTCTGGGAGAGGACCAGGGCCTGATGACGAGATTGGTTTCACAGTGAAACACCACATCATGCCTGGGTCACGTCCGCTGAAACCGGAAGCCCACATTGCCAGTGGGAACAAGTGCTTTAGCGTTGGAAATGCCCAACAAAGTTATTTGTTCACAGCAACGTTAAAGATCAACAGACAGTCCAGCAGTTCTTCTGCCAGGAATATTATGTGCTCCTCCAACCAAAACAGTCTCCTGTTTATCTTCCCTAGCCTCGCCACCAGGAAGAGTAAGCCATAACATTCTTCTCCCCCTCCCTTACGTGCTGGAAACGCCATGGTCCACGCCGAAGACGAGACTACTCTTAATAAGATACTTATTAATGTTAATAGTCACTTCACATAAGTGATTGTAAAACATTTTAAAACAAAAAGTAACTATAATCTTCTGATTAAACATTCAACGATCAATCTGATCGATATTTCAAATTTATCTGGAATATCACATCTCATTGGTCATTTTTAATAAATATGTAGCAGTCATCAATCATCACTACAGTACATTAACAAATTAATGTTTAACAGATTTAATTGACATTAAGTGGAATAAGCCTCTTCTGAGTGAATGAGGAGTGTGTGACGTCTGAGGGTCTGGGTAAATGCCTTTACAAATGCATCTGATCTGGTTGGTCAAAGTTTAGAAACAAACACTTCTTAAAAGTGATCTCACTTCCTATTTTCCCCGGTTCCGCCAGAGCTCCGAGTTCACCCTAAACTCACAGCTCATCTAAACGACCATCCTATGGGGAATCAAACCGGTCTTTTTCAGTGGACTCAATTTAGCAGCTCAAAGAACCATCCTTCTTTAGACCAATCAATTATTATTTATAATCGTTTGCCTTTCATCATCATTGATAATAGAAATATTGTAATACATTGATTTTTACAAACTATTTTTTTGTCTCTGCGTCAAATTATTATATAATATTATTTCCCTGTCATTACCCAAATTACCTAGCCTGGCCTGCCAGACTCCTTCTCTGTTTAATTCTGCACAGAGAAAGGATCTGGGAACTCTCCTATTCAAATAACCCCGCCCCCTGAGAATTCTAACCTAGCCAATCGGTGCTGAGTAGCGTACGTCACACCATGACGCTGAGCTTGTCATAAACATGGTGACTGAAGCGGAGTTCGCTGCGACTCGTTCCTCTGGTCTAAATGACTTGGACACGTCTTTAAAACCACAACAAGTAGAAGTGCTAAAAGCCTTTCTTCCAAAGAAAGATGTTTGCGCTGTCGCCAGACGCCATTTTTGACTACAGCAAAAAAAAAAAAACTACAGTGTGGCAGACGTCACACACAGCAGCGCTCAGTTTCTTATGAACAACAAAGACAACTAAATGCATTTCTTCTACAAAAAAAATAAAGATGTTTGCGCCATTGCCAGACGCTATTTTTGACTACAGCAAAAAAAAAACTACAGCGTCGTGTGGTACAGTCGGCATTTCCGTCTTTTTTCTGATTGGTTATTTTTGAGCTGCCTAGTCCCGCCCCTCAAGTGCCTCTCTGCCTGTGAGTTACCAGACTCTTTCTCTGTGCAGAATTAAACAGAGGATGAGTCTGGCAGGCCAGGCTACTAATTACCCAGCTACATCATCAATTGCATGTTAAAGGCTCAGTATTATTTATAATCCATATTTTTATGGAATATTACATTTAATTGAATACCTTTATATTCTGTTTACAATTTATTAAAAGTAACCACTTACAAAACGTTACAGTGCTAAACACCTGTCATTGTTTTCTAGGTTCAAAAGGGTCTGCTAGTGTTTTTCTTTTTGGGACTCTGGTACTTTGTCTTAATTTTTTTATTTTTTTATTTTTTTTTACCGTGTCCTGTCTGGCTGTGAAGCAAGCAGAATTGATGTCTGAATGCTGGTGACAAGCCTTACAGATTTATTCTCAGGTGGAGCATCAAAGCGTTTGCTTTTAATGTCACGCCTGATACTTAAAACTTTATTGTTATTGTTGTTGAATGCTTTGTAATTCCGACCAGACACGGAGACAGAGGTGAAAGAGAAAGGAAGAGAAAAGGTGGAGAGAGAGGAGGGGGGGGTCCACAAAAAAAAAACAATGAACAAGAGTCTGCTTCTAGACCTGCAGAAAAAGACAAAAAAAAAAGGACACAAAAAAGGGACACAACAACAATACAACAAGATCTACCTATCACTGCGTCAACTTGATGAAAAACAAAACAAAAAAAGCAATAAATATATATATATATATATAATCAACATTGCTTAACTGAAGAATCACGATAATAAATCACAACGCATTAAGTGCCCACCATAGTCTTAAGACATGTGTTGAACGTGCCCAAGCCCATACTTTTGAGAGCACCATGTGAGCGCCTGTGTGTGTACACGCGCTTGTTTATTTAAGGTTTCTCTATAGGAGCGTCCAACAGAGAGTGTGAGGGACCACAGATCTGCCCCCGAAAGATGCGCAGGAGACGGGGGGAGCTCCAAGTCCCAGAGATCCAGGCGCTGCCCCAGAACGCAGGGACCCCAAGGAGACTGCAACCAGAAAGGCCCCCGCCCCCCCCGAGAGGCACAGAGGATCGCCCCGGGGGGCCACAACCAGCAGCCGGCAGAGTCCCTGGAGATATCAGCGGCAAGCCCACAGGCCCGCCCGCAGCCTCCCACCCCCTAGCCGGCCGAGCCCGGGACCCAGCGACCCGGGACCCAGGGGTGACCACCCCCGCCGGGGACCCAGCAGAGCCCAGGGACCCAGACCCCACCAGGCAGCCACCGGGATCTTTGTCTTAATTTTAAAGCGGTAGCAGCCGACTGTTTCTCCTTCTCTGATATTATTGAGACGTAAACTTCTCACACCAGTTGTGTTCTTTTGCTGACTACATGAGTGCATAATGAATGGAGGACCCAGGGAAATGTGGAAGTGCAGTGGTTCGGTGAGACGCCAACCGGATGGTCCAATCGATGCTTTCAGTTCAAGCCTTATTATTGGCTGAGAGAACCACTTCATAAATTTTTATAATTTTTTATCTCCAGAACTTTGAGGCATGAAAAAATATTTTAGGTTAGCTTGTTCTGTAGATTTGCTCTTGCATCTTTAAACATCCATCTGTTCAGACGTGAATGTCTAGTTGACAGTTTAAAAAATCTGTTTCTGTAACTTTACTTAGAATATTCAGCTGGTAACCCTGAGTGAGAGATATTTGAACAGATGGGTGTTATTTCTGTATCACCATCTTCAAGTTTTGAATGTGATGTGTGTTCCAGCACATTGTAGTAAAATGTAACTCGTTCTCATCAGTGTGAGGGGAAATTCAGACCACAGGGTTACTTTTAGGACACATCTATTAGAAGGAAAACAACGCATGTGTCGTTATGAGACAGAGATTTGCTATCTCCACCATAACCAGACATTTTTCATTTCATAGTTTGTCAAAGATCAGAATTAAGTTGCAGCAAATTTTGACACAGGAACTTTAGCTGGGTTAGAGCGATGAAATTCAAAGTTGAACACAGACTTTATGCCCAGTCACTGAGTTTTTAAAAATTAATATAAAGGTTCATGTAGATTACTGTCTAAACTTTTTGATGCATCATCACCCGTTCCACTCACACCTATTCTTCTCCCCATCTGTCTTTTCCTGCTGCTCTCATCTCCTCTGCTCTCTACAGTTGTAAAGCCCTTCCGTGACTAGCTGTCATTAATCTTCACTCTCAGGGGCAGGACCTTGACTGCATGCCAGGAAGCACTCCTACAAAGCGTAGACACTAGACAGCGATGCACAAACAGAGGTGCTTTTCTTATTTTCAGAACTTATGTTTGCAATGCTGCAGCCCTCGGGGCAGAGTTGCAGCACACTTCAAAGTAATGACTCTGCATCAAATTTTACATAACACACCTGAAGTCCATCTCATCCTTTCAGCTCTATGTTACCCCCACATGAATGCAGGCAGCTTCAGCTAACCCTTCACAAGCCTCTGTTTTTATTATGAAAGTTTGAGATTCGTGATGATACAAGACAATATTTTGTGTGCAGCTAAAACAACAAATACAAATGCTGCCCAGAGAATAAAAACATTGCTACAGGAGTATGACTCAGTCAACCACTGTTGGTGTTTGAGAGTGGTATGATCAAACTTCTTTACAAAAATAAACCCCAGAGTTAAAATTCCCATTTCTCTTTCTTGGCATGGATGTTTGCACAGAATGTTAACGTAAAACTCAACATCTAAACAAGTTGTCCATTGCCAGTTAGTTATATTTTGTTTTGCTAAAGTTACATGTGAAATTGTCCATCATATGCGTATCATAATCCTTCACTACATTTTCTGTCTGGATGACCAAGTCTGCCAGAATGCACCTGTATGAGATTGGTTTGGTCAGTGAACCAGATCTCTGCGTCATCCTCAGTGAGTTGGCAGCAGACTCTGGACTTTGTGTTGCTGACAGCAAATCACACATTGAAGCACAACGGAGAAGAATGAGTGGCAATTTAAACATTTGCACATCATAAAAACACAGTTCATTCACCATCATAAAGAGCTACTGTGAAGTTTACGATCCATTGGTTCTCCTGTTGCAAATAAGAATGACGGCAGTTGAAATTCCACGGTTTGGCAGCAGTGTGGTTTGGCCATCGTGTTGCAGAGGCGAAATCAGTTATTAGACAGCAGATTCTGGATGAATGGCAAGAACAATGGATGAGGGATGTGAAAGGAAGACATTTATACAAATTAAAGGGAAAGGTTGGAAGAATGGAAGTCATTCAAATGAGTAACAGAAATGAAGTAGTAATAACAAGGATGAGAATGGGACATACAGCTTTGAACAGTACACTTTTTATTCTTGGACGGCATAATGCCGGTATGTGTGACTGTGGACTTGATAGGGAAACAGTAGAACATGTATCATGTACTTGTAGAAAATATGTGGGGAATAGGAAAATGTTGGTTGAAAAATTAAAAGTTAAAGGGTATAAGAAATTTGATTTGAATATTCTGTTAAATGGGGGAATAGTGGTGTATAAGTTAGTCATAGACTTTTTAAGGGACAGTGGAATACTTGATAGAATTTTTATTTTTTATTTTTTTGTAGGATACTCCCCACTTCGACTCACACTCCCATTCAGTAGGTGGCGGAAATGCACCTGAAAGTTGGTTGCCACACGCCATTTAAACAACAGAAGAAGAAGAACTCCAGTGCCGGTTGATACTCTCACCAGGGTAGCGTCTAGCCCAGTACATTACCTGATCTTCCAACGAACTTGTTCTATGAGATCCTGTATGCTCTTGTTTCTAGTATCGCGCCTCGCATCCTCTAACCACGCCTAGAGTTGTTGTCCTCGTCCCGTCGCTCAGGATCCTCTGGCCTCCACTCTCCATCGCTCTGCTTGCCTGCCTGCCAACCTACACCCTAGACTCACACATCCTTCTCCCGTCCACCTCCTCTACAACCATCGGACCTGCCGCCTCTCCTCCGCTGAACTTCACCCAGTCCACCACCGCTAATAATTGGTTTAAGACCGTAAGAACAATTCAAACACCAAACTTATTGTTCTCTGGTTCCGCCTCGTATTCACGATTGTTCATTCTTTCTTTTTAGATTTCCGATCCGTTCCTGTTTTTTCTGGAGCAGCGCCCTTAGTTTTTCCTTAGCTTCATTTAATAAAATATTTTACTCTTTTTACTTGCCTGGTTTTCACGTGTGGTTCTTCATGTCCTGGGTTAAGCACCTTGCCCACAACATGACACAAACAGAATAGAATCAACTTTATTTAGCCCACAGTGGGAAAATTCACTCATTAAAGCAGTACATATACTTAGAAAGCATTGGATATCACTAACACTTGTGCAACTTCACATTTAAAGTCTGCTAAATTTTGCTGTCATTTAGGTATTCCTGGAGCATTTTTGCCATATTGCTTGAAATGCTCCTCACATACAACAATCAATAAATTAAATGTTTGGTCAAAAAGATTGTTTTTATTCTCTGAAATGTACAATCTTAGAAAACCTTATCCAATCATTGTGCTCCTCCTGTTTAATGACTGGATCCTGATCCATTTATCAAACCGCCCCTCTGAATGTCTCTTCCCCCGTTCGGATCGGTTCTGGAAGTTTTTGACCTGCTCGTTTTCACTGATTGCTGGTGACAATGGACTGCAATAATTTTGAAGCTAAGTATAAACCAAGAATGCTAAAAACTGCCTCGTTTTTCACCATTAAAGGCCACACTATATTAGCTAGCGTACCGAATCATTTTTCAGTGAGTCGTGGAGGATGGTTGCTTA